AACACACTCTGGGCGCTAGATCCGAACTCAGTTCACGGTTCCCAGCTGTGTCCTCTTTCCCAGGGCCACACGTTTACAGTGGTTGTTGGTAACCCAGGCTGACCCATCCATCAGAATCCCCGGGGCTGCAGCACTGAGCCTCCCCACGGCATCTGGTCCAACTGGCGGGGCCTGGGCATCTGCATTTTTGAGTGACCTGGCGATCCCAGTGCGCAGCAAGGACAAGATCACAATCCACAACCTCTTGGGAAAGTGGACAGACGGACACCGTAGGAAGGATGAGCTGGCCACTGGGGCAGACACCCGGAAGTGGGCAAGAAGAGGGTCCAAAGGCCAAATGGAGGGCTGACTCTATGGAAAAGGAGGAATGAAGAGACAGCACCAGAGGAAGGCACCCTGAGGTAGAGGAGGCCTCAGAAAGCTGGCCGTGGCCAGAGCTGCAGGGATGGATTTCAAGCACATGCGACAGGGACTCACCAGCATGGTCCCCAGACCTTCGGACACTTGGGGTACTCCGAACCCCCGGGGGCGGGGCCCAGCCATCCAGAGCGGAGGCTCCGGGGGAGGGTCTGTGAAGCCCAGCTTGGGTGGGGGGGTGACATCACAAATGAGAGGAGCCCAGAAACTGCAGACCACTCAATTCAATGGCATTCGGGAAAGCAGTCAGCAGGAAGATTATGGATGGGCCCGGGGCAGAGGCTAGAGCAAGCAGGGAGGCTCAGGGAAGAGGGAGAGGCAGAGGTGCGGCCAGAGAGCTGAGGGAGAGAATCCAGACTCCCCGCATCTCTTAACAGGAACCTTGGAGGCTGGAAGGGGTGCACCTCCAAATCCCGGGGAGAGACTGCCACACCCAGCCAGGAAACGCTTTACACACGCGAGGTCCAGCCCCACAGGGACTGCCCCCCCAATCACTCCTCCCTCTCTCCTACAGCACCTCCAGAGTTAGACTGACGTGTCTGGTCAGCTAGACCCACCAGCAGACGCGAGCGGTGGGGTGCCGCTTCCTGGGAGCCCCCCGCCCACCCCGCCGTCCGGGCTGGAATGCTGGTGCTGCCATGTGCCACCGCACCGCAGAAATGGGGCCGCCCCGGGGACGGCAGACCGGGCAGCGGGAGCCTGGGTCGCCAACACCAGTGAGCTTCCAGATGAGCCCTGGACTTCTGCATCACCCCCCAGGAGACAACCATCGTCTGTGTGGTGGAAGCCACTGTGTGGGGCCTTCAGCACAACAGCTGAGCCTTTCCTTTCCTAGGAAGTCCCCGGAAAATGGGAGATCTGTGAAGGAGAGCAGTGCGGAGCAGGTGCAGGGAACGAGCAGCCCGGCTCGCAGGGGGCGGAGGGGGGCCCTCTCCAGGGAAACATGTACTGAAAGGCTGTCTGGCAGGCCGAACTGTCCCAAGAGGCTTTGCACAGAGGACTGGAGGCTGGGTGTTCAGAGTGAGTGGGAGACGCTCAGCGCTCAGCAGTGCTCACGCAGGCCGGGTCTGAGGCTGGCCCGCTGAGTGACGCTGGGGAGACGAGGCCACCAACCAGGAGAACAACCAGCACAGGAGCCCCCCAGGGGCAGCTGCATTTTGTCGAAAGCCGTCTTGGACCACTTCCACAGAATATCTTGGTTTAAAATAATTAGTTTAAAAATTGCTTTGCAGTGCCAAAGAAACATCCAAGGCCACCGAAAGTTCAGAAGTGAAGAATTCACGGTGGAGATGCCTCCGGCCTGTCCTGAGCGGGATGCCAGGCTACCCCAGGGAGTCCCCCGCCATCGTCACGGTCGGGCCAGCGTGAGCAGCAACACCCCCCACCCCAAAGCCCACGTGGAACAGCCAACAGAGGGCCAGGCAGGGAGCGTCCCAGAGAAAGAAAACAGCAGAGAACATCTCGGGAACCAACAGGGAAGAAGAGAACAAGGCCTTTAAGAAGACAAATCAAACAAACAGACAAAACTAGCCCTACACCTTTTCACCAAATTACTAAAAAGCAGTTCATGATACAAATAAAATTCAACCGAAAACATACCTGGGAAAACAGATATACCTACAAACAAAAACAATGAAAAGTCATTTTTCTATGTTGGGCAAGTGTTTTTATTACTATTATCGGTCATTTTAGATGCTGCAGCTTTACTGAATTCTCTAACGACCTGAGTTACCTTGATCGTGGACTCTCTCTTGGGTCATCCACCTGCAAAGACAGCTTGCCCTCTTTTCGTCCAATTCCGGTGCCTGAGTTTCCCTCTGGTCTAACGGCAGAGGCTCAAATCCCCAAAGCAACGTAAATGAGCAGTGAGAGTGTGGCCCCTCACCTCAGTCCTGACCTCGGGGACAGTCCTCAGAGCTCCCCCTTTGAGGAAGATGCTCACTTTAGGGCTCAGACACCTGTGTTTTACCATGTTTGGGAAGGACCATCAATTCCTATTCTCACTGAGTGTGTTTATCGAGGATGGGTGTGCGGGTGAGTTTATAAGGTCCTCACTGTGGCATGAACCTAAACACCCCGCCCAGATGCCCACCAGGTCACCCCTTCAGGGGACACAACCAAAAGTGGGGGAGGGGTGGGGACGGGGAGGTCAGAGGAGAAGGAAGGGACTTACACGGCTTCACTCAGGACTCAGGGAAGGCAGAAGCCCAAAGCCAGGCTGGAGCTGGGGCCAAGACCCTGAAATCAGAACCACAGGGACACAGATGGCCCTCCTTCCTGGCACCTGGGCCCAAAATCCCCCGTGTGATCTTGCTTGCTCCCCTTGGCTTCTTTTTTTTTTTAAAGATTTTATTTATTTGACAGAGAGAGACACAGTGAGAGAAGGAACACAAGCAGAGGGAGTGGGTAAGGGAGAAGCAGGCTTCCCACCGAGCAGGGAGCCCGATGCGGGGCTCGATCCCAGGACCCCAGGATCATGCCCTGAGCCGAAGGCAGACGCTTAACGACTAAGCCACCCAGGCACACCCCCCTCGGCTTCTGCTTCCCTCAGTGAATCCCCGGAGGGCCAGTCCACGCACCCAGGACAAGCCAAAAGACCTAGCATCCGACTGCAGTCCTGCATCCCATCTGGGGCCACCTACCCTCCCCAGTTTAGCATGGCCAGCGCCCGTGTCGTGTGCTCTTGAGTGCTGGGACAGGAGCTGGGCTGCAAGACCGACACTACCCGGTGTGTAAAAGGCACAGAGAATGGGACGGGGAAGAATTTTTCAAAGACACAGACACAGCACAGAATTACTGAATAAAAGCCGAATTAGCATTCATCTCAGCTCACGTGTTTCTCCGGCACTTGGCATCCACTGAATTACAGGTCAGAGAAGACTTCGACAGAAATGAGTTTAGACACCACTCTTATGGATAGCATTCTCTCCGTAGGAAAATGCCATAAAATTACAGTTCTTCCCGGGTGTTTTCGGCACAGTGTTTATTTTGTTCACTCGCTCCTGGTGAATTACTAGGTGCTGTTTAGAGATGATTACGTTTGGGGAAAATATTAGGCTTTTTTTTTTTAACTTGTGGGCACAAAACCCCTACTAAAATAGGCATTAAATACTGCAAAGCCCTCGTAAACATTCCTTAAATGCACTTCTTAAAGAAACATGCCTGCCTCAAACGCAGCAGCTCAGGCTCTGTAAATGACCATGGAATCTAGATCTGCAACAATTCCCTCACTCACACCGCCAGGAGGTGCAGACAGAAGACTGGGCTTGTCAACAAGGAGACAGCGAAGGGTGGAGATGCCACCTCTCCCGAACTTCCAACATGTGGACAAGATAAGCAAAAATTCTAGCACAAAGTTTCACGAATTTCAAGTGGAATGGAGCTCAATGAGGCTGAAAGACAATTCTCAGCAGTTACAGGGCCTGGGCTTCAGATGGGGAGCTCAGAAGAGGGGCTGCCCCCCCACTTCCAGGAGGCAGGCAAGGGCTGGTGAAGAAGAGGAGACAAGCAAGCTTAAGGGGCTATGGCTGTCCTCGGGGTACAGAGACACTCAGACCGCCACCGCATGCATGGGCCTGGGCATGCATTGTCACGAAGCGCAACTTCCCTTGGGTAGGATCTAAGTTAATCAGATCTAAGGGCACTGCAACCAACATTTAGTGCAAAGAGGAAAACAATGATGAAATTAAAAAAAAAAAAAAAAAAAAAACCCACAAAGATTAGCTAAAAAAGAAGCAAACTTTAAAAATATATCCCAAATCAGGGCCCACACTCTGACTCTGACAGGCCCAGGGCCCATTATCCCATGAACGTGATCTGTGCCTCTCGCTCATGGAACACACCTTTGTAAAGCATCTCTTCAACACTGTGTGAGGCCCTGGAGCCAACACAAAGAACAAGATCAAGCCCTGCCCCTGAGGCCTCCCCTCGTAGAAATATCAGCGTATCCCTGCACAGAGTGGTACCATTTGAGCTGGGTTTTGAAGGATGAATAAGAGTTTTCTGAGAGGAAAAGAAAAGAGAGCTTGGTACTCCCGGCATTGGAGATGAGAGCGTGAATGAATGGCATTGTGCCCATGATTACTGTTTTCCCTAAATTGCAAAAAAATAAGCATTCCCCCATTAAAGTAAAAAGCGTCCCTCTATGTCCCACCACATTTCCTGAGCCACGAACTTTAAGGCCTATGTTGTTTAAGGTGGAATCTGACCAAAGGAAGAAATAAATGAGAACATCAGAGGCAAAAACATGCTTCAGTAGCCCCTTTGTTAGTGGGTCACACTATTACTCCCTGGTGATATCACTGTCCCCCGAAAGGCCTTGCCCCATCCCGCGGCCACCACACACCTCATGGTTCTATGCTTCCTGGGTTGCGTGTGACCCTCCAACAGGATAGTCATCCACCTGACTTTTGTTTCCAATTTTAAAAACAGGCACTGACTGTATTTCGGTAATTTACTATGCAGCCTCTTAAGAGTTTAAACTTCTACCTCATTAAACACCGGAGCCTGAACTGGGTCAGACGGCAGCCTGGCTCCTGGGGAGACGGGCAGGCACGAGCGAGCGGCAGCCGCTGACTTCTTACCTCCATGCACAAAGCCATGCAGGGTGCAGTCGGAAGGCCCCACCAGGTGGATCAGGCTGGACTGGCTGTAGCTGACGGTGTTCGGCTCTGGAATTACAAAGGAGAGAGGTTAGGCCGTGGGGCAGATTGATGCCCACGACTGAGGTGCGCAGCATCTGCACGGCTGCCTAGGGTGTCCAAGTGCCGGCAGCTCAGGTGTGATTTTTCTAAGGAGAACCGTGGTCTCCACGTGTTCCAGTCCGTGGAAGGAAAGGCTTTCAAGGTTTCAACGGCCACTCTGTTAGCGGGTCATGATGTCCATCCCTGGGGACACCAGTGTGCCCAGCAAGGCCCGTTCCCAAGACACAGGCAGCCAGTCAACGAACCTTGCAGCTACACGCTCTCAGGGCTGTGGTGACCCTCCGTCTGGACAGTCATCCCTCTGACTTTCACTCCCAATTTTGTAAACAATCGCAGACAGTTTCAGAAACTCATCACGCAACCTCGAGAGCGTGCACCTGCACACTTCACTGAACGCAGTGGTAGATGGAGACGCCGCAGACCCAGCCTCCCTGGACGGCACCCCGGGACTCCTGCCAACCCTCGGGCTCCGACCTGGCCCAGAAGACTCAGCACCCAGAGGCAAGCCGGCTTTTCCCTCCCGTTCACCGCCCCAGCTCGCCACATCCCTGGGGGCTTCCCTCCTTCCCTCCCTCCCTCCCCCATCCCTGCTGCCGCCAGAATATCTGGAAGAGGCCACACTTAAACAAACACATGAAATAAAACCCTGCCTCCAGAAGACAGGTAGGACACCTCAACACTGCCTCTTCTAACAGGTGCGGGCAACACTCCCGTGTAGGGTCTTCTGAGCAGACCCACCACTGCCTCCACCTTCCAGAGCCTTCTGGGTACAGCTGACGCTCCTCTGTCTCCTGCCTGGACAGCTGGTGCTCAGAGGGGGTGGCCACTCCTCCCCCAGCAAGGCCGAGCATCAGCATCACCTCCAGACCCTGCCTGGTGCGGAATTTCAAACCATGTGGTTGCCTGAAGGGGTCACAAGGCAGGAAAACTGGAGCCCAGGTAAACGGAGTCCATAAAGTATTGAAATCCAAACTCATTTTGTACTTGCCCTCGAGCCTCGTGGCTTAGAGTGATCTAGACTCGAGTCTGGAGCACTGTGTCAAGTGCCCTCTGCGGCATTTGAGAGGCCATCATCATGAGATGCTGCCGGCAGGGCCCTCGGCTGCACGGGGAGCTGAGAAGTGGCTCCGACTCTGGACAGAGGGCTCTCATTCTCATGCGCAGCTAGCCTGCTCCCTCCGCCTGCTTTCCTGGCTCGCTGTGTGCCACGTGAGGTCCCAGCTCCTGCCTCAGGCTCCTGGCCTGGAGTCGGGAGCTCCTGGGCAACCGTGGAGTGAAGGATTCCCACCTGGAAGGCCACCTTCTGGGGACCTGGCTGTCCAGCACACCCATCTGGATGTGGGTCAAACGGTCCTCGCAAGTGGTCCCTCCACGAGCTGGGGTACGAGGACACTACCTAAAACCAGCCAACAGACAACACCGATGACTCCAAGCAAGACGGGATGGGGATGGCAGCAAAAGCTCCCGGGAAGGGCACTCCAGGTGTCCTCTGGTGTCCACAAGGACTGCATTCGATGCACATGGCCTGTGGCTTTGACTCCAGGGAGGAGCTGCCGCTCCCAGCTGCCCCTTCAGTGCAGGCGTCCCAGACCCCAGGGGTGTCCAGAGCATCCTGGACTATCTATCTGAGACCACGCTGGGCCCCAGGGTAATGCAGTACATGCAGACAGACCGCACAGGATGGGGAGCAGGACTGTGCCCTCCCCAGTTTCTCATCTCACTCGGAAATGGAAAAGACGTACCCCCCAAATCCCTGTGGTGCTATGGGAGATGCGGGGGACAGTCCCTGCTGGTGAGGGTGCACCTAGCCAGGGCCACGCCTACAGCTGGCCTTGGGGGTTCAGACACCTGGACCCTGCCTGGGGACAGCTGCTGGAGCCACAAAGCACACCGATGAAGACCCCCTGCCATCACACCTGTCAGAGAGACTCCCCCAGCCAGCACTGGACAGGCCACCGCACCCCTGAGCTCAAAGACAGTCTCCCTTAGGCCCTGTCTCTCTGCAAAGCGTGCAGGCAGAGAACAGAAAGGCCCCAAGAACCAAGGGGCACACTCTGCTGCCTTCATTTGTGTCCCACTCAAAAGACACAGAAGTCACTCTTACAGCACAAACAAAAACTAAGAGTCTCAAATTTGGCCCAATCTCAGGAACCGCTTTGACCAGGTAACAGTTATGCAGGTGGCTAATGGTGAAATTTTTAGAAGTTCAAACCACAGAAAATTGCACACAAAATTTTTTGTCGTGTTGGGGCCCCTGGGTGGCTGTCATTAAGTGTCTGCCTTCGGCTCAGGTCATGATCCCGGGGTCCTGGGATCGAGCCCCGCATCGGGCTCCCTGCTCCACGGGAAACCTGCTTCTCCCTCTCCCACTCCCCCTGCTTGTGTTCCCTCTCTCGCTGTCTCTCTCTCTGTCAAATAAATAAATAAAATCTTAAAAAAAAAAATTTTTTTTTGGTCATGTCAAGTATCTATTCAGATGACAAGCCGTTTGAAATAATGATCACAGCTTAGTCAAAGAGAAGCCCCCACTGTCTTCTAGGAACGTTCAAAAGTCTAGAGTGATCTAGACCATGTCTAATAATTTCATGTTCTTAGAACTTGAACTGATAAGCTTTTAAATGAGTGAAAGCACCACTATTCTGATGGGGAAAAACAATACACCCCTACAGCCGCCCCCCACTGCTGCTTCCCTCGGCGATGAACCTGGCCTCCGGGGGGTGGGCCTGTGTCTACTGTGTGTGTGTGTGGTTCAGTCGCTGGCTGGGCACCTCTTGTCCTCGGCCATCCTCAGTGGCCTCTCCCCTGTCCCTTCACGCTCCGTATCTCAGGTGAAGCACAGTGACGCATAAAAAGGCTCTGTGAGTGCAAGGTTGAGCCACAGAGATTTGGGGGTTATCTGTCACGGCTGACAGTGTTGCCTTAACAAACACATGAACTGGCACCCAAACTGGGGCCCGCCCAAAGGAAAACCTTTATTCTGAGGGTCAAGGGCATGGTCTACCATCCCCTGGGCTTAGAAGGTGGGACACATGGTCAACCTAAAGATAAGTCTATGGGGCCACAGCACCCCAGGAAATGGCTGAAAGGAGTCAGAGTGGTCCTGGGAGCTTCTCCTTCCTGCACTGAGCAAGGTAGGTCAGGAAAGAAACAGCCAGCTTGGAAGCATAACGGAGAGTGAGCAGAGCCCAGAGACCTGGGGCACCAAAAGGTGGGAAAAGCCTATTGCTTCTGGGGATGGAGGGAGAGAGATCAAAGCCCATCACGACTCAGCCCACGAGTGTGTCACGAAGAGCCACAAGGAAGCCACCATCCAGCAGAGAGAGCTTGACGAGCCTGTCTGGGAAGGATGCTGGGTGTGACTGTCACAAGCAGCTGACAGGAAGCCAACAGATCAACGCCCACGAGGTTTAGAAGGGACAACTGTTCAAGCCCTAAATAACCTCTGATGTCCCCCGTCATAGGCGAGCAGGCACCCACTTCAGAAGAGGCCTTGGAAGATAGCGGACAAGGAAGACCCTTCCGGAGAGCAGACGGGGACTGAGGAGCTTCCCACCCTCCGAGAGCAGCCCTCCCCCGCCAGCACACCAGCCCCGGGAACACGTGAGCGTGTTTGCCCCTCGTCTCTCATCTCCTGTCCCACCTCCATGTGGACACTGTGCTGGTGCAGGGGGCCCATGGTTTGGTCACCGGCCACTGGCCCACAAGGTACTGCATCTAAACCCAACAGAAAACCACACGCAATCCGAGATCCCGCTCTCTGAGGTCAGGTGGTGGCTAGACAGGATTCTGGGTGAAGTGACCCACACGGGCAAGGGAAAGAAACAGGACATGGTGGTCAGCGGGCAGGACTGGGCAGCCCCTTTTCCTCGCCTTCTCCACGCACGGCTAGACCACACTGCCCAGCCTCCTCTGCAGGCTGCCTTCCCACCAAAAGGGCATGAGTGGAAGTGCTACCTGCTTGCAGCCCAACCCATCCAAACCCCAGATGGGTGAGCCCCTGATCTTTCCCCTTCCAAGGTAACCCCGAAAGCTACCTGTTCAAGATGCACAGCTCGAAGACGAGTCCACCTCAACTGCAGCTCACCCCCTGATTAGGAACACCGGTTTGGACTTTACAAGAAATAAACCTCTACTGAGTCAGGCACTAGGATTTCAGGGTTCAGCAGCTACAGCAGCTACCATGACCCTGGCTAACACGGCGCTAATGTCTGGGTCTCAGCGTCACAACAGCGTCCAGAACCTGAGTGAGGTCCCCGGCGCAGCAACGGGAGAGGTTCGGCACAGCTGTAAACATACACAGGAGTCCCCTTTCCTGTGTTTCCAGCCGAGGAAACAGAGGCAGGGAGACTAAGTCCCCACGGAGGCAGAAGGGGGATTCAGACCTGGGCAGCCCAACCCTAGACAACGTGTCCCTCACCACCCCACCTCTGCCTCCTTACACAGGAGGCCTCCTCTTGCTCTCCCCAGAACAAATGCTGATGGGCGCAGGATGACGGGGCCTGGTGAGATCCTGGGAGACCCCAGATGGACACCAAGCACTCTCAGGGGTGGCCGGGCACGGTCTGACCACAGAGAGGCAGAGCCTGGGCCCAGCCCAACAACCGGAGCCGGGTTTCTTTGTCATCAACCTGATAGCCCCCAAATGGCTCCAGATGGCCACATACATGGTCAAAGCTGGACATCCGACGGCTGTGGATCAAACCGTTCAAGGTAATTGTATTTTCTCTTGTCAGATGGAGAAAACAATTAAAAAAAAAAAAAAAAAAGCTGGGTTTTAAAGAACTCCCAGACTCTCTGAAAGGACACCTGAAGGATGAGGTCAGCTCCGCGAGGGAGTTGCCTGGCAACAGCCTGCTGAAATCGGGTTCTGGTGTCAACGGTAACAGAGAGCTGCAGATGTGGGGGGTGGCGGGGTCCTCCCACAGGGAGGGGCTGGAGTGTTCGAAAGACCCCCAGTGCCGAGCACACGCTCTGCCCTTCCTGCTGAGCTCCTGTCCCGCTGGCCCTCCCGGGGAGCCCATCCTGCCCTCCCCCGGGGCACTGGGAGGCCTGCCTGCAGAGGCCCAGCCCCGCCCTGCCAGGGCAAAGCCAGTTCTACTGAGAGACTGAGGTCAGAAATGCGGACCACATTCCAAAACACCAAGGAATGGGCACGTGACTTCCTTAAGAAGCATATAAAAGCCAGTCCCTAAGCCAGTCATCTGAGAAAGATGCATTTTTATTGGAACACAGAAAAATAAAAATAAAAGCTTATAAAAATCTATCAAGACATTTTGAGATTCAGGGGGTGCCTGGGTGGCTCAGTCAGTAAAGTGTCTGCCTTTAGCTCAGGTCATGATCCAGGGTCCTGGGATCAAGCCCCGTGTTGTGCTCCCTGCTCAGCGGGGAACCTACTTCTCCCTCTCTCCCCGGGTTGTGCGTGCTCTCTCTCTCTCTCAAATAAATAAATAAAATCTTTAAAAAAGGGGGGGGGCCTGGGTGGCCACATTCGGCACCTGCCAGCAGAGATGAGTCCCCAGAACGGCACCCCAGCTTTTACCTGGGTTTAGGACAGGCTGGACGATGTCCCCATTCCTCCACTTAGTCTCCATGCGCTCCAGCTTCTGGGCCTCGTACCGCTTCCGGCCCTCCTCCTCCTGCTCCTGCCGGGAATACTGAGGAGAGGCGCAGACAGAGGATCAGGCCAGCAGCAGTGAACACGGCCCTCGCCGTCCCCAGCCAGGCGTGGCTCGGCCTCCCAGGCTCAAGGCTCTCCTTGCCTGAGTTATGTAACTGGAGCCATCCATCCCTGTCCTAATAATATATATTTAATATAAACAATAAAAACACAGAGAAGGTGAAAATCTCATGTATCCAGAGATAAACAGTCTCAAATGTTTGCTCTGTGTCTTCCTCGAATTGCTCTCATGCCCACGTGTATATAAAACTTCTCCCATGCCAGGTGCAGGTTTCCAAGTAGCAATCAACTGCATCAGCCCAACCTCTCTGCCTAACAGGACTTAGGTGATGGACCCGGTACTGAGCGCATCGGGCAGGCTCCCAGTCCGTCGCTGTTAAAACAACATCCCGTCAGGGCGCCTGGGTGGCTGTCGTTGAGCGTCTGCCTTTGGCTCAGGTCATGGTCCCAGGGTCCTGGGATCGAGCCCCACATCAGGCTCCCTGCTCAGCGGGAAGCCTGCTTCTCTCTCTCCCGCTCCCCCTGCTTGTGTTCCCTCTCTCGCTGTGTCTCTGTCAAATAAATAAATCTTTAAAAAAAAAACAAAAACAAAAACAACATCCCGTCAACAATCTCTGTCACATTTTACACGTGCCCCCTCCTCCTTCCCAGGATTTATCCCTGAACACAGAACTACAGAATCACGGGAGCCCCAACAGGGTGAGGAGAGAGCAGGTTTCCCGCATGCCCTTGACACCCTCACTCTGCTGACCTCCCAGCCTGTCCAGGTTGCACACTTGCAGGAACACGCACCAAAGCTAAGATGATCCCAGCAAAGCTCTCCTCATGGATCACAGACGTTCAGACCCAAGAAGAATAAACAGAATATAAAACTTGGCACAAAAGCTGGGGTCCCTACGGGCACAGCGGGAGGCGCTGGGCTTCTCTGATGTGACAGCAAGGGCCCTGTCCTCCAGCCCAGTGTAGGACACACACGCCCTCCATGCAGGACCCCCCGGGAAAAGCCCCAGGCCAGGTCCACGGGGGCCAGCTTCCCCTGGCAGCCCTCTCCCTTCCTGCCGCCACGGCCCTGGCCCCCCGTGCTGACCACGGCCCAGCCAGCCTCCCCTCGGTTAGCTCTGACACCTGCCCCTGCCTCACTTAGGCAGCATTTCTGGCTGAGCCCATGCAGAAGCTACGGACCCAGGGCCCCATGGGCCCCTCTCGACCCCCTGCTGAAGCCTCTCTGACTTAGGCAAATTCACTTCATACGGCAATCTTAGATCTTCTTTCAAAAGCCAGTCTTAAACATCTGGATTTTCTTGCTCGTGGCTCTGCAGCAAATCGCACAGGATCTGAACACCACTCTGTGGCTCAGTTACCATCTGAGGCTGGAGAACCTGTCTCCCAGGGAGGCTGAGAAAGGGTCTGAGGGGTCTGTTCAAAAGAAACAAACCCTGAGTGTTTAAGTTGCCGTGGATAATTTAAATTTTAAACCTTTTTCTCCATAAATAAACTGTGGCCCCCTGTCCCACCGTCCAAAGTAAAGAGCATATGAGCAGAGCCTGCGCTGTGCCTATCCGGTAAAATTCACGGCTGAACTCAAGGGTCCTCAAGAAATGCCTTTTAAAGAGATTTTTTTAAGAACGAGCCAACCTCCTGAGCCTAATAAATCCTGGCCATGTGAGCATGCTGCTTGGGCCTGGGCCGTCACACGCGGCTGGCAGGGCCCCGGCCAGACACGAGCCATGCAGATGGAGGAAACGCAGCCTCCTCACAACGCTGCCCTGCTGCCTCTGAATCAGGGATAAAATCACTAGAAGTCCCAACGATGGGCTGGTATCCCACCCTCACCCCCAAGGGCTCGTCTAGCCCAGCTGATGTGAAGCAAAAGCCAGCTCAGCCCACACGTCCACCGGCCTGGGCGAGACTCTGAACTCAAGCGCACTTTCAGACGCTGGAAAAAAGAAAAAACCCAACAACCCAAGTGTCCGCCTCTCCAGGGTCACTGCAGGGACACTGGGGTCCCTGCTCCCCGAGGAAGAGGGTGGAGCCAGGTGGCAGCGTCTTACACTGAATACCACCGCACAAGGTGGACAGCCGGGCTTCTTCCAGGGAGATGCACACGCGAGTGTGCTCTGTGAGGTGTGTCTGACATACGTGTCTGGTACGACTACACGTGAGAGACGTGCGTGACACACACACACACCTGCACAGAGAGATGTGTGTGTTCTCAAATAAATGACAGCACTCTATAAAAGGCCGGTGGTGCGATTCAGGGGCGGGGGGTATGAGAAAGCCTCGTGGCCACGTAACCAGCGATGAGCATAAACGCCAGACTCCGAGCTTTCCAGGATCCATCAGGATAAGGACAACAGCAGACCTGTATTTCAAGTCAACTGAAGGCTTCTATGTGCGGCTCACATGGGGGGGGGGGGGGGGCGAACGCCCATAAATATGAGCGTCAGCTGCAGCTGAGAGCTGCGTGGCTTCTCCCATCTGGAGCCCTCTCTGCTTCTGTCTCTACAAGGGCACGGTTGGTACTTATGTCTTATCAAACCCGGCTAAACAAAAGGGATGGGAAAACTCCAGGCCCCTCTGGGATGCGGGGTGAGCGCTCCCTGGGGAGGAGAGCTGCCCTGTCCCTGTGCGGGGATGGGAACCGGCACGCCCACCCCTGCCTGCTGGCCGAAGACCCTACGCTCTCAGCCCCCTGGCCCTGAGGAGCCAGAGGAAGCAAAGGTTCATGTGTTCAGCCCCAGAATCTTCCTTCAGTATCAACCCTTTAACATGTATCATCCGGTGCCGAAGCCAGAGAATGGCCTGCCAGAGACTTCTACAATCTGTGCTATATGAAAATGAAATCAGTTCAATAGTTATGTCGTATTTACATGCAATGCGGCTAACTGAGCACCAAGTGTTTGGTGCAAAAGATGAAAGCAGGGGTGGGTACGCTCGTAATTTCTAAAGAGAAAAATCACTGTGTTTCAGACTCACTCCTGCTTCTTGAGTCTTGGGCCTCCCCCCGGTCAGTGCTGCAGGGAGGAAAGAGACAGGGAAGGAGGGAGGGGGCGGGTGGGGCCGCACGGAAGGGCAGTGCTCTGGGGTGAACAGTGTCTGTCAAAATCCCCGCCCACAGAAAATTGCGCACATGGCCTCTGACAGAACCGGGGTCTGGATGAGATAACGCTGCAGCAGAACGGACCCCAAGGGCAACGACTGAGGAGGAGGTAACACCCCCCCACACACAGGGGCAGTCAGAGGCAGAGGTGGGAGAGATGCAGCCACAAGCCACTAGAAGCTGGAAGACGCAGGAAGCGTCCTCCCCTGGGGCCTCCGTCCCAGCAGCCCCAGGACCATCATAGAGGGGTGAGCCCTAGGAGCTGCTGGGCTCCGTGCCCTGGCCGTGAGCTTCCACCACTCTTCTGCCTGTGCAGGGACGGGTGATGCCAGGGCCGTCAGCGGGCAGGAGCACTACGTCCCGTCTCCCGCAGGCCCAAAGGACAGGCCACCGATCCAACCCAGGCCAAGGTCTAAGCGTCCTTCCCATTCAACGTGAAGAGGGCTCCCCTGTCTCAAGACGGTTTAAATATCTAGACTGCTCGGCAGCTGGAGCCCAGCAGGCAGCCATCCGCACCAGGGCAGATATGCCACCTGGGCCTCGCCTGCCCCGGGGGGCCCAGGCAGGCTGTGCGGCCGGACCCTGGGCTGGCACGGGCGGGGGTGGGGGGGGTTTGCAGGGAGTGCCCCCCCCAGTGTTACACCTGCAGGGGTGCAGGAAGTGGGAAGGTCTGCCAGGGAGACAGAGCAAGCCTCCCCAAGCAGGAAGGGCCTGCGTCCCCACGAGGAGGAGGACAGGACCCAGCTTCTCTGTGGGCTCTCTGCAAAATAGCAGGTACCAGTTCCTACAGCTGTGGCTCCCGGTTTTGTTATTTTAAAAATCTGTTCTCTGTAGGAGTGTAGGAAAATGCTCACTGCAGGGCAGACACTGCCAGAACCACGGGGTGATTCCCTCCAGAGGAGCTTTGGTGTGAGAGCAGAGCCGCGGGCCTCCACGGAGGAGAAGCACGCGTGTCCTGGGGGCGCCACAGGAGGCGGTGAGGGCTAACTTTAGGGAAGGGAAGGAACTAAATCCTTCTATTGGCACAACATTCACCCTCCAAAAGCCTATCCACCCGAGCGTGCCCGCAGCGGGCCCAGAACGAACACAATGGGCTCCCTTCGTGCAAAGACGCTTCTTTCTGCAGCAAAACCAGAGTGAGAGAACCCAGGACAGTGGGAGAAGAGGCGGAAACAGAGCTGTCTTAGCCTCCGTTTTGTCAGGGGCTGGGATGGGGAGCGGCTGGCCTGGGCCAGGCAGCCGGGAGGTCCTGGCTCTCGCAGAAGGACCTGTCACCTGACACCATCCTGACCCCCACCTTCCCTCTGGTCAGGGACATGAGGAAGGGTCCTCCAGGAGGGGCGTCCACCAGGACATCCCCAGCATGAACAAAACCTGCACGAAGATCCCAGACAGGGACATCCCACTCCACCGGCCGACCCAGCCCCCGGCCCCTTCCGTTGCTCTCCTGGGACGCCTGGCTCGCCTCTGCCATCTGCCCCCCGAGAGAAGCGGGAGGGGGTCTCCTTACCACGACTGGAGGCACCTCCAGGACCTTGTCGACGTTCTTCAGTGACAGGGGCACATACCACAGGGTGGCCTTATTGGTCAGCTTCTTAGTACCTTCAGAGAAAAAACCACGTGAGTGATGGCACAGGGAGAGCGCAGGGCAGGTGAGGCTAAAACACAAGGTGGGAGGGTGGGCACAGAGCGTGGGGAGCTCCCCCCCAATGCTGCCCCTCTGGAGGTTGCTGGAAAGGCTTCAGAGCATACACTTTAAGTCTGGGGGTCCTGGCTTTCCAGCATTTGCTAACACAGAGGGCTCCGACTGCAGCCCCTTTACGGGCGTTTGACAGAAGGGAAGTCTGGTCATCCACACGCCCGGAAGCCTGAGGAGCCTCGGGTAGGGTCCTCACCAGCCACCTCCCGGAGAAGAGGGGACAAAGCCAGGGCACTCAGCCCCGGCTGAGCTCGAGTTTCTGCAAACAGATCCGGCAGACCCTGAACTTCCCATCGAACACGCTCTGCTCGGGAGCTTCAGGCCACAGTGCTCAGCGAGGGAACGTCCACCCGCTAAACACAGCTAAGAGCTCCTGCCAGACGGGGGCCAGAAGGACAGTGGCCCATGGACATGAGGCTCGGGGAGACACGGAGCCAGAGCCCATGCGGGCAGCCGGGCCACAGACTGAAGCAGTCGCACGGCCAGTCGTGCAAGTGGGAGGCTTCACACCAGACGCTCGGGTTTGCTGCCACCGACTCAGAGCTCCAATCGAGAAACTTCAGAGTGGAGTGCTGAGAGACGGGCAGTGGGCTGCTGACTCCCACTGCGGGCTGAGTGACAGGAAACCGAACCTTCCTTGGGGCTACCAGAGAGGCCTGTCTGGGCTGAGAACCAGGGGCCAGAAAAGTCCAGACATCACGTGGCCCACCGCACCCTCCACTTGTATAGGAGGAAGCCGGAGCCCAGAGAGGTCAAGGGGTTTACCTAGGGTCACACAGCAATTCGGTGCTATTCTGTGTATAGACCTACGCCTCTAGGTCCCAGTACTTTGAGGGAAATATTTGCAAGGATGCCTTAAAAGTAGCTTCCTCAACACAGAACATCCTCAGTGCAGAGGAGAACAGCAAAACTGCAGGAAATAAAGGGAAGCAAGCGGGGAGGATGGGGAGGAGCCAGGCATCCTCTGTAAAGCCCCTTGTGGAGCTCCCTTTCTTTCTTTCTTTTTTTTTTTTTTTTAAAGATTTTATTTATTTATTTTGACAGAGAGAGACACAGCGAGAGAAGGAACACAAGCAGGGGGAGGGGGAGAGGGAGAAGCAGGCTTCCCGCGGAGCAGGGAGCCCGATGCGGGGCTCGATCCCAGGACCCTGGGGCCATGACCCAAGCCAAAGGCAGACGCTTAACGACTGAGCCACCCAGGTGCCCCTGGAGCTCCCTTTCTATCAGTGCTTTCTGACCTGCCTTCCCAGAGGGAGCGGGGGGCTTTGGTTTCCTCCCCTGAACACAGCCCCAAGGCCCTGCGGTCATGTACGAGGGCGAGCCCATGGCGCCCGGGCCTGCACCGCCAGCACTTGGCCCCAACACAGTGGCCCCAGCAGGACAACAGGCTCCCTGTGCCTGGGAACCACAGGCAAATAACATGGAAAATATTTTCACTGCACTTTGACTGAGAGTGAATCTGACAACCTGCTTTTGGGAATAAAGATTTCCTGTTAGACTCTGCCAGAGCCAGCCTGACAAGCCGGTTTCCATGGAAACCCGGAGTGGCCCTCCTCTAGACCCAAATGAGCACCACGGGGCAAATGAGGCAAAACACGCTAATTGTACTTTCTCCGTCATTTAATAAAACCATCAAAAGACAATTGCAGCATTAAAAACACCTATTTTAAAATCTTAAGAGCTCCCAGCTATTTTCTGGAGCAATTTGCAACAATCATGTCCCAGTTAGCTTAATATTTTGACAGCTGCTGGAGATGAATGAGCCCTCTCGAAGGCAAAGGTTTGCTGGTTGTCTGCCTCAGCATGTGCTGGCTCGGCTGCCTCCTGACAGGCGGCACAGCCCCGGAGGAGGGGGACACACAAGACAGGGGATCCCTGCCTCCTGGGGTCTCAGTTCCTTCCCCGCCCCCCGTCAGTCACCCTGGGTCCACGGGGCCAGGCACTGCTGTAGGCAGTGGGGGGACTGCAGGGACAAGGAAGCTACCAGCCCTGCCCTCACACCCTAGGCACGTGGGCAGAAAGACACACGTCAGGACAGAGAGGGAGGCCACGAGAGACACAGGGTCCCAGAATAAGAGAGATCTGCACGGATCCAAACTCGGAAAGACAGAGGGAGGACAACAGAGATGCAGATGCACAGAAGTGGCAATTACAGAAAGAGACGCAGAAATGAGAGAGACAGACAGACAGACCCACGGTGGTGGAATGAGAAAGGAGGCATCTGGCCCTTCAGAAAGAGGTTCTGGGGCAAGATGACCCAGACACGGAGAAGAGCCACAGCCCTCAGGGCTCCAAGAGCGGCTGCCCCCTTCATGTAACAGGGGAGGCCGAGGGTCAGGAGGCCCCATCTCGAGAAGCAGAGCCCAGTGGGGTCACAGAGCCTGCCCCCTCGTCCCGTGAGGGTGGACGCCCGCAGCACCTCTCCTCACTACCGGTTCTTCCTTCACAGGGCACATCAGATCTGTGTGCCCATCCTGCAGGGAAGAAGCGAAGCCGAGGCTGAGCAACCAGGTGCTTGGGGGGCGGGGGGGTACCTCCTTACTGGTCGGGGAGAGGGCTGCCATCTCGCCACCACGGCTCCGGGTGAGAGCCTCCTGCCCCACCGTGGGAGCGATCCCTTGGAAGTCAGGCAGAGCATGTCGTTCTAGACAAAACCCTCTGTCAGCTTCCCATCTCCGCACAGAAACACAAATCTTCCCAACAGCCTCTGTTCACGTGGTCATTTGTTCACTCCAACATTCATTCACCTGTAGTTATTAGCTCTTTGTCTGTTATGAGCCAAGAGAAGCTGCCAGGAAGGAAGACATGACCCTTTCCCTCCGGAGTTCATGGTCGAGGGCAGGGCTCCTCAGCCTCAGCACAAGAACATGTAGGACTGGGTCACCCTTCGTGGTGGGGACCCCCTGTGCGTGCAGGCTGTGCGGCTGCATCCTTGCCCTCCCCCCACTGGATGCCAGCACCTCTGCCCCGATGGTGACAACCAAAATGGTCCCTTGAGAGTCACCATGCTGGGGGTCCAAAGCCGTGGGGCTGAGCTCCACTTTGTCTGCTGGCTTCTTCTCCATCGCCCACAGGGAGACTTTTTTTCTGTTCCTCAGGGGCCCCTCCCCTATTTGAAGTTCCTGGCTCCTGCTGAAAATCACCATGAGAAAGCGACCCTGCTGGGACGGCCTGGGGGAGGGGGGAGCTTGAAGATAGAGAGCAGCAGAGACAGTGACTTCCCGTCAAGCCCAGCACAGCCCAGGGGAGGAGGCCTGGGCCACAGAGAGACAGAGCACGGGGAACGATGACAGGGACCCCAAGGCCCCATCGTGAGAAGACCATGCCCGGGACCCCTTTCTGTGCCACGGCCCCTTCAATGCCAGAGCCCCGGGCCGCAAAAGGGCCTGGCCACAAACACAGGGCACAGGGATGCTGAGTGTTCCCCAAGCACAGGCCCTTGCTGGGCTAAATCATTTACTGCACCACGGCCGGGCCTGCGGAGGTCACCGGGATGTTCCAGGTGGATAACTGTGCTCTAGGCCCAGGGAGGGAAGAAGCCTGAGCCCCTGAAAGATCTCTGAGCACAGCACCTACAGGCAGCTGCGGCCAAGGAAGGGGCGAGGGGCATCAGGAGGCAGACCCAAGGACCCTGCCCTCTGCGTGGACGACGAGGGACCCAGAGGTGGGCAGCAAGGGGACAAAGGGGCCCGCCTTCCCCGTCAGCAGCCGGTTATAAAAAGCAGCTGCGCCACACTCCCCTGCAGAGCCTGGTGGGAGGATGAAAAGGGGTTTCCATGGTTACCACTCTGAGAAAGAGAATATTCAGATCAAACCAGAGTCAAAGGTTCGCCCAGTGAGCTTCAGCCTAAGCCTGGAGTGCAGGGCCAGGGGTGCAGGGATAAGGGCAGGGCAGGGACCCCTCCCCCCAGCCAGTGGCCCCCCCACCTCCAGGGAACAGCAAGGCGGGTGGTGGTCGGGGGCGGGGGAGACAGCAGGGGGCCGGAGGGTGGCTTGTGCCCTCCCAGCCCACTGCCACCCCTCTGCCCCCGAGGAGCTGGTCACCAGGCCTCCGCCCGGGGAAGGCAAGAGGGGCAGTGGCTGCACACCAGGCCCGAGCTCAAAGCCCACTGGGGGAGCACGCTGTCGGGACTCATTGCTTAACCTGTCCCTGCCTGCAGAGCAAGGATGGCAGAAGTATCTGCTCCTGGGTGGCGCTGGGAATGAAGGGACGTCATTCATGGTGGCGCCAGGGTCAGCCCCCATCAACGTGAGCTAGGCTGCTGCTGGCTTGGTGAGACGCGCGCACAAGTTACCTGTGAGGATGTTTTCGGACATCACATTGACCTGGACCTCCACGGAATGCTTGGAGGTGTAGGTGATCTCCGCACTGACGTGCGCCACCTCACCAATGCACATGGGCGACAGGAAGTCGGTGCGCTCGACGCGGGCCAAGGCGGCCACACAGCGCTCCTGCGGAGACCAGAGACAGGTTAGCCCCAACCCGGACGTGCTCCTCGAAAGTGGCGTTTCTTTCTCCCACTGTGAAAGTAACGCCATTTATTGACATCACACATTCCTAGTTGCAAAACCACGGGGAGAGGGGCGCCTGGGTGGCTCAGTCGTTAAGCGTCTGCCTTCGGCTCAGGTCATGACCCAGGGTCCTGGGATCGAGACCCGCATCGGGCTCCCTGCTCTGTGGGAAGCCTGCTTCTCCCTCTCCTACTCCCCCTGCTTGTGTTCCCTCTCTCGCTGTCTCTCTGTCAAATAAATAAATAAATAAACAAACAAACAAACAAACCACGGGAGACACAGAAAGGCCTCATGGGGACACCAGTGGGATTCCAGTGGGACAGCAGTGAAGATTAGCAGTGGCTTCTTTTTTCTAATTTTTCTACAAAAGACGTGTATTACTTCCATAATGGAAAGCAAAAAAAGACATACTCATTATGGAAAATTTGGGAAATACACAATGAAGTAGACCAAGGAGGGAAAAAAATCACTCCTCCCATCCAAAGAGAACCCAGGGTTCTATTTCAGGATCTTCCTTCCCAGGCTCTTCTCCCCAAGAATGGGATCTCCCTGGTTCATTTGAGTTATTCAGCCCATACAGTCAGGCAAACATAAACATACTTGTCCACAACCTGCTTTTTTTCTACTCAAAACAAGGAAAAATAACCTGCCTGCATTATAAATACTGCTTTGCAATCAATATTCCTTTATTTAAGTGTTATTTGTCCTTCAAATAGAAACCCATTTGCAGGACTCAAAACTGAAAGGAAGGAAAGGGTATAGGGTACCCGGTGTGCGTCTTGTCACTGGTCCCCAGCCACCCAGGACCCCTTCCCTAAGGGATCGACACGGCCACCGAGTACACCCACGCCTGGAGGGCCGTCTGGCACGCGACAGTCTACGCTGGGGCTTGTTTTCTATCGAAGGTGACAGACTTCCTCATTCTTCTGCATGGCCCTTTCCACGACTGACGTCACGACACCCCATTGCAAAAGTATGTTTAATGGCCAAATAGAATGGAATATTCCATTATCAGAGACTTGGGTCCAGTTGGGTCCATTTGCTTATTACAAACAATCCTTTGATGGGCGTCCTTTTACTTAAATCATTTTCAGTATTGGGGGCTGTTTCCCAGATTGAAGGGACACTTCAGTGTATGTTCTCGAAGTACTTCTCAACAGGACAGCAGTGCCTCTCTCTCCCCCATCCCCCCCCGCCCCCTGCCGGGACTGGCACAAAGAACTGCTCAAACTGAATGACACAAGACGCTGGAGTCCCAGCTGTGGGACCTCAGATCCTCATTGCCAAGCAGAGCACTTGGCACGTCTATCTCTTTCTTCCGGGAACCAACCCTCTTTTCTAGGAGGCTGGGCACAGGTATGCCCAGGCTGGGTGGGGAGCAGGGAGTGGGGGATGGGGGCTCACCTCTGAGAGCCTGCCCACCCGGGCCTGCCTGCTCTGGTATTCGCTTTCCCAGCTAATCCTCGCAGCGCCCCTCGTCCACTGAGCTTGTGGTAACGGTCACTTTGAGCCCTGGTGGCACCTCCTGCGGAACCTGTGCAAAGTCCACCTGCCGCCTCCCGGACACGCAACTTCCCCGGCCCACGTCAAGCCGATGGGACCTGCCCCGCCTCTCCGGAGGGACAGCCAGGGAACCTGCACCTTCACACCTCCCGGGTGAGTCAGGAACACGGGGTTGGGGGTTCCTCCAGTTTCTGTTCCTATAAACGTGCCAGAGTCAGGTCTCAGCAAGCAGGGGACCAGAGTGGCTGGGAAAGGTTCTAGGGCTAAGTTGTGGTCACTCCGATCTGCACCGGCCTCCCCCCACTCGCCCCCTAAGTCACACTGGCACTAAAACGAAGTGCGCCTCTAAGTAGACTTCTGTGGCTACAGCACCACCCACTGGCAGAAAGCTGGAAAGGCACCCGCAGAGCCGAGCAGCACAGGAACAGAGGCCCACCTCTGGGCGGCTTGGTGGAATTATCCAGGCGCTGTCAGCAACACCCAAACCGGAATGAAACCAGGTGTCCTCACTGGAGAGCGGTTAAACTTTGGTATGGCTACACTCACACATGGGTAGCACACATGCATATATATATGAATAATTTTTAATGGGAATGCAGCTTAGTCTTGGATGGACCTGAGCTCCATCTCGGTGTACTTCTTCCTGGGAGGAGGAGAGAGGATGAAATGCCGGCGTGCTGAGACGAAGGAGGTGAACGATGTGGGCAGGTGACACAGATTAGGCGACTACTGACCCTCTGACGCTCCGTCAGAGGGAGGGTCATCTGCTTCTGGGCCATGGCTGACTGCGGGTACACCAGGGGACCCGAGATCGTAGATCAGGCGGGAAATACTGGCATGCGTGGAGCCAGGCTCTGCACCTGGTGCGGGATTCAGGGGAGTGAGTCAGAGCGCCTGCCCTCGGCTTGGGTTCCGACAGGGGGACAGATGACAAATAATAGGACAATGCCCCCCGGTGGCAAGTGTTCTGAAGGGGGCAGTGTGGGAAGTGCTGGGGGTGGGGGGCAGCCTCCCCACAGAGGGCGCATCCCGAGTGAAATGATGTCAATCGGGAGGAGGCAGGTATGGAGGTGTGTACCCCAGGGGAGGGGGGAGCAGGCGGGACTGCGCACGGTGGAGGCTGGGGGGAGGGGTGCACAGCAGGAGGTGCAAGCTAAGGGGTCAGCAGGGCCTGTAGGGCCAGGGGAGGTGTGGGGCCAGGACTCTGCTGGAGGGGCAGAGAAGACGAGCAGACTGGCTGACTTTTTAGTCCCTGTACTTCAGAGTGGTGTGAACTTTTGGCAGGTGCCATTTCTGTTCCCTTCCATGACCTGGAACATGGACACAGTGACCCAGGAGGAGACAGAGCAGTTCCCCACACTCTCCCAGGGAATGCTGTCAACACACACCTGCCACAGGACGCCCTCAGGCCTGGCACGAGACGCCTGGCAGAGGCCTCAAACCTGCTCTTCTGGGTTGGAAGCTGCTTGTTAGGAATCTTAAGCTTGGTTCTAAAAGAGAGAATGAATGTTTATAGGGCAGCCACTCCAGAGTCCTTCATAGGCAGGGCAGCCTAAGAGACAGGTGGGCTGCCTGGGGGCTCTCCACCGGTCTGGGGCGCGGGCAGCATGGGCCTGGGCCCAGGGCAGAGGCAACTTGACCGTGAGCTGTTGTCCAGGGGCCTAGCAGGGCACTGGGCCCGCCTCAGGCATTCCGTGAAGAACAGGTGCGACCCAAAAATTCAAAAAAGGAGCCAATGAACATCTATACGCAGTAGGAGGATCTCCAAGCTGAACACACACCTCTGGCTGCCTGTGCCTCGGACACAGCCCTGGACCTCTCTGCTTCGGGGGCTTAAAGCAGGAGGGGCAGCCCCCCTCCCGGGAGCGCTCTCATTAGTCTACCCCAGGAAGTGCCCTCCGCCGTACTCCCAGAGGTGACCAGTGTCACGGCACTCGCAGGGCTCAGGGGGAAACCATGGGGGCTGGGCTCCAGGGCGGCCACGGCACGTGAAGCCAGGATAACAGCTGCTGATGCAGAGCCAGAACGGACAGCGAGGGGCCCTGGGCTCAACTCCCAGCTCTGCTGCTCCCTGGCTCTTGACCTTGTCAGACTCAGAAGTAAGTGGGGCCGGCAGGGTGCCACCAGGACCTGAGGGCATGATCCGTGGAGAGGGGGCTGAGCCGCCCCCTCTTACAGATGCGTGGGGATCAGACATGGGCACAAGCGGGTCCAGAAAGGTCCGCCCCACTACTATGACCGTTTGGCCGGCACCTGCCCTACTCAGCGGACGCCACCGTAGAGGAGACCACTCTGTGGGACCTTCAGGAAGCCGTGTAACTTCTCTAGGCCTCCGCACCTCCCCCACAACGTGGGGTTAAGACAACGGTTGGGAAGATTCCGCAAAGAAAAGGTCAAGCACACAGTGTGGTCGCTGGTGCACCGTAAGTGCCTATTAAACGGAAGTGCTCCACAGGACACTGGCAATGAGCAGATCGCCAATGGGAGTCCACTGTGTTCCAGGCCTCTACCCGGATGCTGAGCATCCAGCAGGGACCGGAAGGCAAAAGTCCCTCCCTTCAAGGGGCTTACACTCTAATGGGGGTGGAGGGGAGAGGTGAGCAGACCAAAGATAAATGAGCAAAACGCACAATGTTCTAGGAGCGACAGTGCTGTGGAGAACAGCTCGGAGCAAGGAGGGAGCTGGTCATCAGGAAAGGCCTCAGTGGAGGTCATATTTACATAGACTGGAAGGAGGTGGAGGGAGCCATGCCGCTATCTGGGGGAAGAGCAGCTCAAAGGAAGAGGGAAGAGGCAGTGCAAAGACCCTGGGGTAGGAACACTGGCCACTCATGCAGCAGCAAGAGAGCCAGTGTGGCCCAAGGGAATGTTAAAGGGAAGGCATGGGACAGGAGATCCGGGAGCTGGCCGGTGCTCAGATCCACAACTACCCAGCAGGTGGAGCCAATAGGATCGGCTACCAGTGTCCACAACGGAAGAAGAATGGGGTCACTGAAGGCCCCAGGTTCTGAGTGTGGGTAACCGGATGCCAGAGTCATGTACAGAGGAGAGGGAGACTGTGGGAGGAGCAGCCTGGGGACAGGTCCAGGGTGTCTTTTCGGGCCCATCAAGGTCAAGGGGCCAACTAAGTATCCAGATGGAGCCAACCAAGAGGTCCCAGCTGGAAACAGAACCCCAGGGCTACATGACGGTACTAAAGGCATAGACTAGATGAGACCTCCAGGTGGGTGGGGTGAGGGTGCCCCCTCCCTGACCCAGAGCCCCAGCGAAGCCCCTCAGAGGCCAGCACTGGCCCCCATGCCAGTGTCTAACCACCTGGAGCTGCCTGGGGCTCACACCCCCTCCCAAGCCTGGAACTTCTGCACCCCTACCCTGGGACCACCAGTCCTGAGACCCCTGCAAGCCAACATGTCAAAATGATCCTTCTTGTACCCCCAGGCTCCCTCCGGGGGCTCAAAGCACAGGTTCGAGGCCAGGATTCATGGCCGACCTACCCCCAGCTTCCCCCCGTGGCCTCGGGCAAGCATGCAGCCTCTCTGTACCTCCACGTCCTCCCCTGTGCAACTGGGGTCACGGGGATAATAATGCAGTTTGGGGAGGATTATATGAGCAGAAGCACTTCAGAGCTTTGCAAAATGCTACCCAGCAGCAGTTATGTGGGCCCTCGCCACCCAAGGCTCCCCTCTCCCCCATTCCGCCATCCGAAAGTTCTTCTTCCCAGTGCCTGGCCTCTCCCGCCAGGCCTGCCCGGACCCTCCCTGTCTGTCTCAGGGGGCCGCCAGGTGCTGGGCCCTCACGCCAGCCCCACCCCCACCCCGCCCCACAGGCACAGGCCCATCCTCCCCGCCACCACCAGAAGGCGCACTCTGAACATGGCCTGGTTTGCCCGGGAACTCCCAGGGCACCTGAACAAATCCGGACTCCTAGCTGGGCAGGGGAGCCCCTCCTTCACAGCACACCGAGGTCCCCCTCGCCTGTGTCCACCCATTAAAACGTTCACCCTAGGGGCGCCTGGGTGGCTCATTCAGTTAAGGGTCTGCCTTTGGCTCGGGTCATGATCTCTGGGTCGTGGGATCGAGTTCCACGCCAGGCTCCCTGCTCAGCAGGCAGTCTGCTTCTCCCTCTGTGCTCTCCCTCTCTCTGTCTCAAATAATTAGAATCTTTTTAAAAAAAAAGATAAATAAATAAAATAAAACGTTCCCCCTGGCTTGGTGCCCACACACACAAGCACACGCATACGCACACACACGCGTGCATGCCGCTCTCTCTCTCCTTCCCGCTGCCCCTCCAGCCAGCATGCATTCCTCCTCTCATCCCAGCAGGTGGCTGGTCCAGGCCCACGGGGACACAGGACACTGGACACAGAGGCTAGTGGCACTGCATCTCTGCTGGCCCCCAGGTGGCAGTGTGGCACAAGACAGACCCCCCCTCCCCGAGCGAGGCAGCTGGAGAAGCCTCGAGAGGAAAAGTCAGGTCCCTCAGGGCTGGAGGCAGGGCAGGAGAGGATGGGCCAAATGCCCCCCAGCTGCCCAAGCTGCAAAAGCAGAAAGCCTGGCCCTCATTCCGGGCATTCCGGCAGGGCTTCGCTGGGCTTCCCTGGCAAGAGTGCCAGTGCTTGCCCAGGCCCCACCCTGCCCCTGGGGGTGTCGATGGGGCAGGGGAGGGGTCAGGCCCAGGGCAGCCAGGCTCCCGTGGATTCTAGAAACCAAGACTCTTCTGGAAGGAGGGGGAGGAGCTTAAAGGCAGCTCTCAGCCAGCTCCCAGCTTACTCTCTGACTGTCTCCCATCCCTCCTCCTTGATGAGTCCCAAACGTCCCAAACCAAGCACCATTCCAACGGGTCCCATCCAGGGATTCCAGAAGTTCCCAAGGCCCAGGGGACAAAGGAGGGGAACACTCCAAGCAAACTCCTGTCCTGACCCAAGAGTGGTGCGATGCCACACACAGAGGGTCGCCAGGCCTCCTGGGCCTGGAATTTTCAGGTGATCCCAAGCAGGCTGGGTGACAGCCCGCAGATACTTACCCCATTCTGGCTGTTACAGTGTCGGGTGCTGATGATGGCCCCTGCCTCCTCGATCATCTTCAGGATGGTCCCACCGTGGACATTGCCAGCCACATTGGCATCATCCGGTCGCATGATCCTAGGCCGAGGAGAGAGAAGCAGCAGGATGAGGCCCTTGAGAAGGATGTCACTCATGAACAGCGACAACCCGGGGTGAGGAGAAGGTCCTCCAAAGAGACCAAGGACTCCCGAAGAAGGAAAAAGAACTTTCCGGGAGTTTGGTCAGAGTGGGCTGCTGATCTGACAGCCCCAGACAAGGGGCTGCAGGGTCCTGTCTCCACGGGAGGGAGGGAGGGAGGCAGGAAGACAGCGGGACTGTATCCCCGGGGTCACAGGCACCCAGCCGGGAAGGGGTGAGAGCAGAGGCCTCTGGCAAAGGCAGCAAGGCGGCAGCATGGCCGTTGGGATTCCCAGCACACCTGCCCTTCCTGGTTCCCAGGCTCCCCAACGACCAACAGGGCTGAATGAGCACCAGGACATAGGCCGTGACCCCGTGGAAGACGACCCTCAGGAGTCCCAGAGGGGCTAACGCATGCAGCCTCGGCTTCTCTGAGAAGTGGAAACGTGCCACAGCTCTGAGACTCCTGTCAGCGGGGTAACACCCAGCACCACCTGCCCTGGCCTGCCGAGCTCCTTGGGGGCACCTGGAGGGGGCTAAGTCCCCCGGGATCGAGAGCTGGGAGCCCTCCAGGATCGGGGGAGGGGACTGAAATGCCACCCATTGCCCCAAAGAGGAAAAACTACATCCCTGCTGTGGGCAGCCAGTGGTAGGGAGACTCCAAGAAATCTCTGGAATCCCAAGAAGCCAGCTTGGTGCTCCTACAGTGGGCAACCCCAGCCAAGCTGGCACCTTCCCAAACCACAGTCAGGCTAATGAAATCTGCCCTCAGCAGCCTCAGGCCTGGAGACAGGGGACGGGCAGAGCACATGCCACAGTTTCAGTGTGCCCGCCGACCACCTGGGCTCACCCAGCGCAGCCCCCAGGACCTGCACCCTCTGCTCCGGGGCTCGGGGCCAGGGAGCTCTGCCACCCTCTGGGGCTAGGATCTCCTGACAGCTCCACTCAGCAGCTCAGTCTAGCCAGTCAGACTCCGAGACCATTCCTGGCTCCCGCTCTTATGGGTGAGCTGGGCGACCTGACCAAACTCTCATTCTTCCACTTCCTTGTCTTTAAAATAGGCATAATAACTGAACCACTGCACTTGACCGGGGGAGGACAGACTCACGCGAGATAATGCAGATAACAAGCCCAGCCGCAGTGCCTGGCACACGGCCAATACAATGCATCCTCACCAGCAGTATTCTTCCCTCCGGGTAAATATTTACCCAACCGACTGCAAGGTTGGAAGCTCCAAGACAGAGCCAGAAGGTGTGATTTTCTCGGCAAATGAGCATGGACATCTTGCCGTGACTGACAGCGGACTGTTGCCCACCCCCAAGTGTGACCCCTTTGTCCTGGGGGAGAGCCGGCTATGAGAACCGAGACCCACTCAGGTCACATGGCTGTCTGGCCCTGCCTCACTGACTTGGGGCAGCAGTCATGGTAACCTGGGCAGAGGCCAGGGGAACCCCAGAGAACCGGAAAGAAGCTTCACTTGGCTTCTCAAACATCCATTTAAAAATATTTCTTGAAAAAAAAAAGAAGAAAAAGAAGAAGGTAGCAGGAGGGGAAGAATGAAAGGGGGGAATCGGAGGGGGAGATGAACCATGAGAGATGATGGACTCTGAAAAACAAACTGAGGGTTCTAGAGGGGAGGGGGGTGGGAGGATGGGTTAGCCTGGTGGTGGGTATTGAGGAGGGCACATTCTGCATGGAGCACTGGGTGTTATGCACAAACAATGAATCATGGAACACTACATCTAAAACTAATGATGTAAGGTATGGGGATTAACATAAGAATAAAAAAATTAAAAAAAAAAAGGAAAAGGAAGAAAAATGAAGAGGACAGAAGTCACCTGTACCTCTGAAACAAATGATACATTATATGTTTAAAAAGAAGAAGAAGAAGAAGATAGTAGGAAGGGAAAAATGAAGGGGGGGAAATCAGAGGGGGAGACGAACCATGAGAGACAATGGACTCTGAGAAACAAACTGAGGGTTCTAGAGGGGAGGGGGTGGGAGGATGGGTTAGCCTGGTGATGGGTATTGAGGAGGGCACGTTCTGCATGGAGCCCTGGATGTTATGCACAAACAATGAGTCATGGAACACTACATCTAAAACTAATGATGTAATGTATGGGGATTAACATAAGAATAAAAAATTTAAAAAAAAAATATTTCTTGAGTCAACTCAGAATGGATAAAGACTGGAAACCATGAAACTCCTAGCAGAAAACACAGGCTTGCGGTAAAAGCTCCTTGATCAGTCTTGGCGACGGTTTTTTAGATCTGACTCCAAAACCAAAGGCAACGAAAGCAAAAATAAACAAGTGGGACTTGATCAAAGTAAACGAGCTTCTGCAGAGCAAAGTAAACCATCAATGAAATGAAAAGGCAGGGGTGCCTGGGTGGCTCAGTCGGTTAAGCGGCTGCCGTCGGCTCAGGTCGTGATCCCGGGGTCCTGGGATCGAGCCCCGCATCAGGCTCCCTCCTCGGGGGGAAGCCTGCTTCTCCCTCTCCCTCTGCTTCTCCCTCTGCTTGTGCTCTCTCTGTCAGATAAATAAAATCTTTAAAAAAAAAATGAAAAGGCAACCTATAGAATGAAAGTATTTGCAAATCACGTATCTGATAAGTGGTTAATATCAAAAATATATATAAAGAGCTCACACAACAGTGAAAAAAAAATCTGATTTTAAAATGGGCAAAGAGGGAACAGCTGGGTGGCTCAGTTGGTGAAGCATCTACCTTTGGCTCAGGTCATGATCCCAGGGTCCTGGGATCGAGTCCCACGTTGCAGGGAGCCCGCTTCTCCCTCTCCTCCCAGCTCATGCTGTCGCTTTCTCTGTCTCTCTCTCCCAAATAAATAAATAAAACCTTTATTAAATAAATAAATAAATAAAACAGACAAAGAGGGGTGCTTGGCCACCTGAGTCAGTGGAACATCCGACTCCTGATCTCAGGTCATGAGTTCAAGCCCCATGTTGGGTGCAGAGCCTACTTTAAAAAAACTTAAAAAAATAAAACAGGCAAAGAAACCCACTAGACATTTTTCTAAAGAAGACATAGGGATGGCCACCAGGTACATGGAAAGGTGTTTAACACCACTCATCATCAGGGAAATGAAAATCAAAACCACCATGAGAGATCACCTCGCACCTGTCAGAACTGCTATGATCAAAACGACAAAAGAGAACAGGGGTTGGCGCGGGATGCGGAGACAAGGAACCCTCGCGCACAGTTGCTGGGGATGCAGACCGTGCAGACGCTGTTCTCCACAATCTCTAAAAAATTAAAGCCAGAACCACATGATGCAGCGATCCTCCTTCTGCGCATTTACCCCGAGGAAACCTAAGGTCGAGGTCAGAAGATACACAGGTTCATGACGGTGGCACTCACCACAGCTGAGCCCCCACAGCGCTCATCCGGGGGTGGGGGGGTGAACAGATAAAGCTCTCGTGGGATACGGAAACCAACGGGGGGGGGGCGGGGGGGAATTCTGTCACTGCTGATGACAGATGGACCCGAGGGCATCACGCCGAGTGAAAGAAGTCGGAGACAGAAGGACAACACCATGTGATCTCACGTACATGTGGAATCTGACAACAGGGAGCTCAGACAGAGAACAGCCCGCTGGCTGCTGGGGGCCAGGCAGGGGGGCGGCAGGGTGGGGTGACCCCCCAGGTAAACAAGTCCTGGGGGCGTGAGGACAGCACAGGGACTCCAGGTACCAGTCCTGCACCGGACACATGGAAGCTGCTGAGAAAGTAGATGGTCAACGCTCTCACCACAGGGGAAAAAAATCTCCAAACCTGTGAGGCGACAGAGGTCAAGGGTCACTGTGGTGAACCTTCTGCCCTACAGACACGTACCAAACATCACCTCGCATGCCTAAAACTAACACCCCGTTCTACGTCAGCTACATCACAATAAAACCGGAAAGATAAAATAATAAAAATTTTAGAAACATTGTCCAGTTTTTAAAAATTCGGGCTTAAAAATAAAATTAAATAAAAAAAAAACAAAACCTTAGCATTAGCCCAAATTTCTGAGATAAGAGGTAGCCAATTTAAATAACAAAAACTGCTGTTATCAACCTCTTTCCTTGGTATCCGTTTTCAACTTAGTAAAGGACAGAGGGTCATTTCTGCCCAGAGGGTCGTCCTCCCGGGGCACAGGTACCGACTGCAGGGGCTGCAAGGGGGCAGGGGGCTGGCCAGGGAGAGCAGAGCCCTGGGTTCTAGAACTTCGGGGAAACCTGAGTCCAGCCTTCCCTAGAAGCACCAGAGCCTGCCTCTGGGGGAGCCCGATTCCCCCCTCGGGGCTTCCTGTGCCTGTCCGTCAAGTGGAGCTGTGCCCCCATGGCTGGCCCACAGAAGGGCAGACAGGAAGTGCCCACATCCGGCGGGGCACTGAGGAAGAGACTGATAAGGAGGCAGCCTTTGAGATGGTGCCTGCGGCCATCCTGCGACACTTGAGGGTCCCCAGAAACCCCACATCATCAACATCCAGCTGCCCCCAGGAGCCCGGGCACTTGGGAGTAAATGCCAGGAGCTCCAGACCACATGCTGTCGGGCACGAAAGCTCACTGGGATCCTTGCCATCCCCCACCCTTCCTGGTCACCCTGGGTCCTTTACAAATACCGTCCTAATTCCCCAGGCCAGCTGGCCACTCAGGCACAGGGTGCTGGCCCGAGCCTCCCTCCCTGGGTCCTGATCCTGACCCACACTCTGCAGTTACTGCAGAGGCAAGGAGACCAGAGCCCAGCTCACTCCACGCCCCTTGGCCCCAAATGGCCCCCACTGCTCAGGAGCTACTGGGCAGGGCTGTCCTGAAAGGCCAGTCACTCCCTCGGGGCCTCTCCAGCTTGCTTCCCCAGAGCTCCCGCGCCCCTCGCCTGCTCATCTCCAGGCAGGCAGGTGTCTGAGGAGCGAGGGCAGCCAGGAGAACATGTGGTCCCTCATTCAAATTTTGTTTTCCC